CGCGGTCGTCGAAGTAATCGTCCAGCATCCTGAGGAGATAGCCCGGCACCTGGAAGGTGTTCTCCAGGGCCGCAAGTATCCCCGCCCAACTCGCCGAATTGAAGGCGTTCCTGACGTCCAACGTAGCCACGAGGACGACGCGCCAGCTATGTCTGTTCCCAGACTCTGCTCTCTCTGCAGCGTCCAGAATCTCCTTCAGGGCGTCGATAGTCGATCTTCCGCGTCGAAATCCGAACTGTATGCCCGACAAGCCCCCCGCTGCCCGGTGCGCCGCCAGTAAGCGAGGCCTGATCATTTTTTCAAGCAGCTTCCCGGCCGTGTCCAGCATACAAATAGGCCTGTACGCCGACGGTCCGGAAAGCTGCCCCTTGCCCTTGTTGATCAGGGCCAGGCGTTGAATCTTCCAACGGGCCGGCCACACCCCGGAGTTCAAGCAGGCGTTGAGCATGTCCAGCATCGTTCGCGGAAACAGTTGGACTGCTAATTTCACAGCCTCCGCCGGGATGCCATCCGGGCCCGGAGCTCTCCTGTTGCGAAAGGAGCGAGCCGCCTCGAGCATCTCTTGCTCGGTGAAGGGAGGTATCTCCTCCACACGCAACTCCGCCTACCGTCGCGTCCTCTCTGGGTGGAACGGGAAGAGGGCGTCCACTATCACCGTTGCCTCGTCTGTGGGCAGAATCGCAGGGCCATTCTGAGCACCGATCCGGCGGCGCACGATACGGTAGCCCAGGCCCCACGGATCCCGGTTGACCTCTTCGCGGAGATCTTCCCAGCAGCGCCGCTGGCTCTTTCTAATGGTGTGGCGAAGCTCCCGACGCCTGTCTCTGTAGCTTTGCCACAGGACCTCCCCGTCGGGAGTGCGCCCGGCGCGCTGAGCCCCTCGCCGTAGACGCAGGCATTCTCTTCGGAGGTTGGCAATGTCCTTCGTCCACCAGTACGCAGGTCGTCTGGCACCGCGTGGCCCTCCTCGGGACATCGACGCATCGCATGCTTCGTGGACGGCGTCCATTGTCGCGCCGACGATCCGCTCCACGGATTGCCGGGTTCGCGGTCCCTCCGTGGGCTGCGTGATGTTATGCAGCCCACGTTCGAGGGCGTCGCGGAACTTCTCCTGATTTAAGGATTTGATGTTCCACCCTCGGAAGGAGAGCGGAGCCCGGCTCCATCTTTGCTTCTCCGTTATACGGAAAGCCACGTATTGGTGGTCGCTCCCCGTATAGTCCTCGATGACCCTCCAGTCATCTATACGGGGGGCGACATCCTCGGAAGCCATGGTTACATCAACGATGGTCTCATTGTAGCCAAACCTCCGGAAGGTCGTAGAGGTCTCCCGATTTAGCACCACCAGTCCAAGTCGGGCCGCCATCTCAATCAGGTGCCTGCCCCTGGTGTCCGGTCTGGGCATACCCCACTCCACCGCCTTCGCGTTGAGGTCCCCCCCGACGACGCATCCCCCCTCCAGCTCGCGGATGGCGTCCTCCAGGGCCCCGACCTTATCGCGAAATTCCGCGATGCGATCATTGGGGGAAAGGTATACGCTTATCAGCGTCAGGCCCTCGCCCTTCACCCAGACGTATCCCGCCCCCGCACCGCACGTCTGCACCCGAAATCTGGACGGGTCCTGGATCCAGATGGCAGCAGTTCCTGTCGCATCGGAAAACCACGTAGGGCCCTCCCGAGTTCTGTACGGCTCGCTGAGCAGAAGAATATCGATCTTCCGCTCGAGCCGCATTTGCTCAAGGAGGGCATTCGCGACTCTACTCCGGTGCAGGTTAGCTTGGAAGACGACATGATGATGATGATGATGAAAGTATTGAACGTCTTCGTCTCTTTCGCATGATTCTAGATACGGATTCATCAGACGAATCACTGAATTCCATATCCATTGTATCTAATATTTAGATGGGAAAAAATTAAAAATGAAAAATGCTAACCGCCTTTTTAGAAGGAAAAAAACTTTTTACTACCGTTACACTTACCGGAAGAAATGTGTGCTCAGATAAATCGTTATATCAAAACTCTACTGACCTCGCACCTCACAGGCACTTCACATAGAATACTTGCACACCAACAGAACTTTTTCTGTCATGCCGTCAACTCTAAACTCAGTAAAACTCACTTACTAGGTCACGCACTATATATTCAAAAAGTGTCAACTGGGCGTATTCGTTCCCCAAAAAGTCACACATTTTCTCCACTATGTGTGGGCGGCCCTATACTTGTAATTGGGCCGTCGAAGATGCAGAGGTGGGTCAATGTTCCCCCAACTAAAGCCCACCCCGAGGCCCGCGATTTTCCAAAGAAAAAACAAACTGATCTCTGGAAAACCACGCGACAGTCCTCGGCCACTTACCCGGCAATATATATCTTTCGCCTGCGACC